AACGTACATCGCTAGACAGGTAATAAACATAATCTAGCTAACATTTAGCCTATCATTTATTTACAGCTGAAATGTTGCATGTATATGTAAATAATAAATTATTTATCATAATGTACTTTAAATAACATTTAGAAATAATGTCAGAAAGATATCAGTTCTTTTGATGTTCATAAATACCAGTAGTGAGGTTGTACAATGAGGACGTTGTCATGTTGCCAGAAATAGTCATCACTCATCAGTGTCCCAATGTGTAGTGGTCCTTACTGTCCTTACCAGTGCCCGAATTCATGTACACGATATACTGATTCACGACCCAGGTAGTTAGGGAGCTGATTGAGACACACCTTAAATAATTGGTAAAGTCCGGGATAGGTCACCAGAGAGAAGTCTATTGTTTCCCTGGAATCTTAAAAAAAAAAAAAAAACATTTGCATTGACGAACCGTTCGCAGTAAGATCAACAGCACGCATTTAGAAAATAGATGATTTTTCATTTCATGTCTTTAAATTGACAAATAGGACAGCTCACGGTCTGTTAGACCTCAAAGACATGTGAATGAGAAGGCCATAATAGATCTGAAAGACTAAAACACAATTGTTTCAATGAGTATGTGTATTACTTTGGAGGAAGAGGTCATCACATTGCTGCTGTTGCACCACCAACCATTAACCCACAAAACCTGCAGCAGCCAGGTCATATTAAGGCTCTGTTACCACCCTTTCGCTCTGATAATCTGCTGGTGATTGGCACTTCCCTATTCTCCCCTCACCTCAGCCCTTCCCACACGTGTCATCTTGGCTCGCCGGAGGGCAGATAGGGGCTGTCAATTAGCAGATAATGTAGGGAGCAGCTGAATGTCAAACAACGCTTCCCCAGCGGCGACCACGCATCAAATGTCCGTCTGGCTGCCTGCGGGATACAATGTCTTGTTACTGAAGTGGGGTTAGAGGGAAAAACAGCCAGCGGGAGGAGAGAAAAGTTGACGAAATCTGGCACGTTAGTTACAGGCTCTCTATCACTTTCACTAATGCAAGATGGCATTATAGTTCAATTGTAGGTTCGTAAGTGACGTCTAGAATCACTGTGGCATTTGTTTGGGTTTTCCTTCCCATGTTTACAGTTTCGGTTTGGTATTTTCAACTGTTAACTTTCTGGTCAATACTTTTTCATGAATTTCTAGGTTCAGGGTACATAAACCATTCAAGAAGCCTGATGTGATTTTCAGTTCAAAAACAATAAAAATACATGCAAATCCAGACTAACTTCAAATACTTTTAGCATGAGAAAGGACTCAAACCAAAAGGACAAAATACTTGTAGGTCCGTTTTTTTTTTCTTCCATGTCCATCATGTAGGCTGACCAAAATCTAATCAAGTTTCTTTGTGAATAGAGCCTGGATTCCCCTTTTCTCCTGGAACCTCCTTCATCATTTCATTTGAGCCCTATCACCTTTAAAAATAACAGTAACCACCTCTTGTAGGTCAAGTCAGACAAATAGTCCCCTGGATATAATTAGCCACCTGTCAACAACCATCAATTCATCCTGGCTGAAAGCGGTGTCAAACAGTACTGTGGAATTTCAACCAGATCCATGACTGCCAAACGTATGCATTTCAAAAGACACACTGTCAGGACAAAACTTGGCCCAAAAAATATTTCAAGAGATTTGTAAGGAAATTAATGTCACATCCAATCCATCATTACTAGCCTAAGGGTATAAGGCTTGCGGTTAACTTAGTGATATGTGAGAAAACGTCAAGTTTTTAAAAAGAAGGATGTGCCAACTTATAAATTTAGAGAATTTTAAAATGGAGGGTTTGCTGCCAAATAGCACTGACCTCAGTTTGATGCTCAACTACTTCAGCGCTCTATCTCCAAAGCGACTAGTAATATGCAGGCATAACAGGGTCAATGTCTCCATCTTGTGGTCAGACTACTTTTGCTCAAATGGGAAAATTAACTAATATTACAGTGAAATTCTCTCTTAACACATTGCACAACTACAAATGACTTAAGCATAAATTAAATAATATCAAGCAACACAGAAAGAGAAGAATAACACAGAGACTCAAACTATACATGATTGAAAGTGAGTATATTGTTAAACAGGTGCCTGGCTATTTACAACAGCTGTTGTCATGGCATTGCGAGGTATTCATTTGTTTACTCCCCAAGAGGCACTAAAAATAGTGTTGCATGTATAGCTCTGCTCATTTTGCCTGGATTCAAGGGATTTATGAGCAGAAACATAGTGCACATATACTGTGCAAGCTCACTTCAACTTTAGATTCATAATACATATGTCCATCACATTCACACAAACACATTCTACTCTCCTTCTTATGATACTAAGTGAAAATGACATTTCAGCAGTTATGAAAATTACATTAAAATAGTTAAGCAGCATATTATAGTTTGGCAACATAAATGAGGGACTTGATGTCAGTCATTCTCATAATTTCCCCCAACGTCTCATTTCATACACTCACAAAACGTGATATTTTCACATTTGAATACTAAAAAGGAGGGCCTAACATATGTCAGATTAAACTAAGGCAGTGACTTACTTAGAGGGGAAAAAGGCCTTTTACCACAAACTACTACTGTCTGTTACCCACACTGACTTCTGTGCTTCAATATCAAAATTACTAATACAAATAAATCACAATTATTGTGCAGTTTGCAAATAAGCACACAGCAAAGATAACTTACATGGAGGCAGTGTTATGGAACTAAACCAAACAAAAATCACAGTTCAGACATCTTTCTGTCAAGGCTTTCTGTCATTTTTCCTGACTAATATTCTGCTGAAAGATTATGATTTTGTTTGCAAGCAATGCACTTCGATCAAAAACACAACACAATCCACTCTGAGCCTATAGAATAATAGAATGATGCTGCGTCCATCCATGCAGTGCTACATCAATATCTCATGCAGAGACTTCCATAGAGAACAAGTCAATAGTATGCTACTAATTCACCTTAACTCCCAATTTAGCAAACAGATTGCTGTCTCTTAAGAGATGATTGACCTAAAACCGATCAGATCACTGGTGATTGGAAGTGTAATCATATCAGCTTGGATACAATGTGCCTTTTGATCTTTAAACCTACCATCTGTAGACAAGTCTCACGATTAAACCAAATGTTAATGAAATTATTTATTAAAGGTACAGTGTGTAATTTTGTAATCTGCGTTGTTAAAAGGTTAGTTCACCCCAAAATGAAAATTCTGTCAGTAATTGCTCACCCTCATGTTGTTTCAACCCCATAAGACTTTCGTTCATCTTCGGAACACAAATTAAGATATTTTTGATTAAATCTGAGAGCTGGATCACTCCTCCATAGGCTTCTTAAGGGATTGAAACTGGCCGGCCCAGAAAAGTTAAAGACATCGTTAAAATAGTCCAAGTGACTAGTGGCTCAATCTTAAGTTTATCAAGCGACGAGAATACTTTTTGTGCGCAAAAAACAAACAAAAATAAAGACTTTATTCAACTATTCATTTCCTTTTCTGTAGGCCTCGAGATTTCACGTAGTGAAACTGTGCAACGGTTCTGTGTTGTACGTCACACGTAGGCTCACTATAGGCCGACGCTGGTCATGTGTGTGATGCGTGTGACGTACAACATAGAAGCGTTGCGCAGTACGTGAAATCTCGAGGCCCACAGAGAAGGAAATTAATAGTTGAATAAAGTCGTTATTTTTGTTTGTTTTTTGGACCGGCCAGTTTCAATCCCTTAAGAAGCCTATGGAGGAGTGATCCAGCTCTCAGATTTAATCAAAAATATCTTAATTTGTGTTCCGAAGATGAACGAAAGTCTTACAGGGTTGGAACAACATGAGGGTGAGTAATTACTGACAGAATTTTCATTTTGGGGTGAACTAACCCTTTAAATTAAGGTTGATAGCATTGGTAGTACACCCTGATAGATAGCATTACTGTTTGTCCCAATCAGATCCATCTATGATTTTACTGAACTCTGAACTGAATCCATGAAGTGTGACCTTTTCTGACCAATTTCATTGGTCGTGTGGGGTGGAGCTTGTGTTTAACTTGTTTGGGGTGAGGGGAGGAGGGGAAACACTGCTGTATTCTTAGTTTTCATGTGGCATAACACACTTATAGGAATGCACACCTGGAGGGAAAACAAGGCTTTCCTCCATTGCTCACCAGTCATTTTTACCAGGTTTGCACTAAGTACTAATGTAGTAAGACAGTGATATTAAAAGACAACATTCAGTGTATGCCTTATTGGTGATACATACTATGTACAGGCTAGCAGATGAACTCAGAATATAAATGCAATGCACAGTTTCTCATTAAGCGTTTCCCATAGAAATGTTTTAAGAATACGCTAAATCATAACGCTTACGCTTTGCAATAATATTATGGGCTCATCTGCTCGCCTGTATATAGTATGCACCATTAACAAGGGGAACACTGAATTTGACCTTTTAACACTTTCAAATCACTTTTTAAGTAGGCACCAAGTATTTTTCACATTAAGCGTTTTAGAATGTCCCTCTGGTTTTAGTGATTTTTAGGGACTGAAGCATTACATTGATCATAAGTTCCCAGAACTTGCATTTTGTTCACATGTTGTTGTTGTTTTTTCTCTTTCTTTTTGAGATGGAAAACTAACAGGCCTGAAATGCATTCTATGGATGTTTTGCCTTCCAGGTCTCCACACCAGTCACATGACTGAAAGTGAAAACTATGAATTGGGCTGCTAAAAATGCCATGTATCAACAGTGATCAACACTTTTAGTGTTTTTTAAGTATAGTCTAATAGATGACTTTACATATTAAGCTGGGCTATAGAAGAAACTATTTTAATGTTGAAAATTACACACAGCACCTTTAAAAATATGACAATGACTGCTCTATTTGATGCTTTGATGGATATTTTGCAGCATATTTCCCTCATTATTTTGAACCATGATCAACACAAATACGATTATTAAACTGTACCTATATCATTAGCACACTGTATTACTCAGTGTTTTCACTATGCTCTATATTGAGGTCTTCAATGACATATGTTGTTGCATAGTAGTCTGAATCATAACTATTAGCAGGCACTTCTTGAGTTGGAGGCTCGAAGTGCCAGGCTGGCGATAGACTTCACCACGCAGGTGGAGGCTCTGTGGCAGGCGCCGGCACTAGCCATGTAGTTGGAGGCTAACCGGTGTAGCCGTTTGCTCCCGAAAGTGTTAAAATGGCCAGGCATGACCAGGTCAATCTCATCTTTATCGACCATCTCTACCAGCCTTTCGCAGCTACGGATGTAGTCGCTGATCCTGCTGTAGGGAAGCCAATCAATCATGGAACCATCATAGACCACGTCTCCACTGAACAGCATCTTGTTCTCCTTGTCATGGAGACAAATGCTTCCTCTGGAATGGCCCGGCATGTGGAGAACAGAAAGTTGCCGGTCCCCAAGGTTGATAACGTCGCCTGGGAACACAAGGATAAGGAATAAAGGAAGGAAATGTGGAATGTGGGAACTGGATATTGTCACTGCATTGCAGCACTGACACAGCAGAAGCTGTATCGATTGATGCACAAGTTATGAAAAAGAGAGGGATTTATGTAACATATACGTTATGGATAAGTAAGCTTTAGTTTATTATTACTACAGCTGAGATATCCTGGTCCAGGCAGAAAATACATTTTAGTTAAAAGGATTTAATAATACCCTTACACAAGTTTTAGAGCAAATATCTGTGTCTATTGGATATACTAACACACAGTGACATATCTGAATAAGGTATGCTTCTAAACATCCACAAACATAAAAAAGGGTTAAAGGCACATGGTCTGTTTATCATAAATAATTCAGGATTCACACAACTTTTCTGTACTGACTTTTCATTACTTTTACAGTCAATTACTGGATAATTATACATTTTTAGTAATTATGGACTCACAAAGAGCAATTTCTAACTGATTAAATATTTCCAGCTGACTATATTTGTGACCCTGGATCACAAAACCAGTCACAAGTCGCACGGGTATATTTGTGGCAATAGCCAACAATACATTGTATGGGTCAAAATTATCGATTTTTCTTTATGCCAAAAATCATTAAGTAAAGATCATGTTCCATGAAGATATTTTATAAATTTCCTACCATAAATATATAAAAATATTTATTTTTGTGAGTGAATGCAGCACAATCGCGAACACAAATGGACAACTTTACAGTAGCACCTCATTGCAGTGCACGAGATCCAGGGGGTGGAGTAAAGGGTGGAGATTGGTAGGATTAGGGGTGGGGTAGGGATCAGGGGGTGGAGATTGGTAGGTTTAGGTATGTAAGGTGGGAGGAGTTGGATCTGGATCCAACTCCTCCCCCTGATTTAGTGTTCTGCGGTGAGGACCATCTCCAACTTTAAAGGGGATTTTCTCAATGTTTCGATTTTTTTGCACCCTCAGATTCCAGATTTTCAATAGTTGTATCTCGGCCAAATATTGTCATATCCTAACAAACCATAGATCAATAGAAAGCTTATTTATGCAGCAAAAAAATCACTATTAAATAAATAAATAAGATGCATACGATTCAATGCAATACTGACTACATTTTCCGTGATTTTCAGAGGCCTGGAAATCACACCTTTTAAAGGTTTTTCCAGGACCATGGGAACCCGGACTCTAGGTTAAAGTATATGTCACCTCCACATCTGAAGATATACTTGTGAGGTGAAAGAATAATTTGTTCACTGAAAAACATATCTTCATTTCATATGCAGTGCAACTCACTGCATATACTAGTCCATTCACTGAGAATAATGGGGGAGCTCATATCAATCATGTGTGGTTTACTCAGAACTTTACTCTGATTCTGCTGGGTTTCTGCCAATGGTCCACTATAATGGTGTATCTCCACCATCAGGGAAATTATAAAGCCACATTAGACAGTGAGCTTGGTTTTCACTAACCACTGACATGTCTCTGGTGAACACGATCTGATTTGTTTCGATCTTTCTCTATCTCTTCAAAGATATTAGGCAAGGTTGCCCAGAATGAAGTCATGCAATGCAGTGCATTTTACTACTGTTTTTGGAGTAGATTAGGCATGAACCAAAATTAGCTAAATAATGCAGAGAGAGAGAGAGAGAGAGAGAGAGAGAGAGAGAGAGAGAGAGAGAGAGAGAGAGAGAGAGAGAGAGAGAGAGAGAGAGAGAGACAGACATACAGACATAACGGCAATTTGGCACAACAGTATAATACCCCACCTTCTTGTAATATATGGGTTGGCGTAACAGCCGTCACTCTATACTGTCTTGCTCGCCATCCAGGCGCTGGATCCTCCACGATCTCGCGGTCAGATAACCATGTCACGGTCTCAAAGTTGTCACCGTTAGCCAGGGCATCCACCTCCGCCTTGTGCACGCCCACCTGTTGAAACTGATGCAGCCCGCCCGAATGATCAAAATGCACATGCGTGCCGATGGCTAACAGGGGGTTCTTGCGCTTCGAATCGTCCCCGAGCAGCCCTTTACTGTAGATGTATTCAGGCAGACTCCGTAAACCCAGTCCGGTATCTATGACGACGTCCTGATGGGACCCGCGTATGAGCCAGATATTCGCCCTGTTCCCCGATTCATAAAAACGCTCCTGGATCCAAAACACGCCATTTTCCAGCGACTTATGCGCGTACCAGTCAGTCACAGACATCCCCAATACATTCAAGAGGTTATTATTGCATATGAGGATAAATGTATGATTGTTAACCTATAATTTTGGTTTAAATCTAGCTGCTCCAGCCGCAGAAAAGACGCTGACACCCTGTTCCGCAAGAGCAGCACGTCACCGAGCGTAAAGATATGACGCGCTAGAGAGTCGGAATACTATTGGTCAATGCGGAAATAGGCACCACCCAAATAATGCATATTCATTAATATAAAGCAAGTGCACTTTAATTGCCTTCAGATACTCATTTATATTCGTCTAAATGCTGAACAAGGTAAGCAATTGCCCTCCTGCAATGCGACCGCCCGAACCAGTGGTGCAGTTTTGGAAATAGTGCATTGTTATCATTTACTCACCCACATGCTGTTTCAACATTGCTGTTTTTATTTCTTGCGGGAAGCACCTGTCCAAACCTGTCTATGGTCCAAACAATTAAAGTGGATCCTCATTTATATGCAGTACAAAAAAAAAAAAAAGTCCTGTACGATAATATTCCAATTTTTCTGAAGTCATATGATAGCTTTGTGTAATAAACAGACTGATTTTTAAGTTTTTAAAAGATAATCTTCCTCAGGCGTTTTAACTTTACGTCATTGAAGCCGAACACCATCACGTGACCTATCGTGACCTAACCCCCCCCCTCTTAAAAAACAACAACAATGTCAAAATTATTATTAATTTGTCAATTATTAAATTGTTTCGTTCATCCAAACTTTTTTTTAGGAATATTTGACTGACCAGAATGGCAGGAAAGGGCAGAGGAATAGCAGCATTCAGCTTCAACGTTGAGGCTCTGGGCCTCACCAGAGGGTCCATGCCTGAAACCCAGAAAGGGCCGACTCCACTCTTCCCAGTGAGTTATTCTGAAACTTTTTGTTTTCTTCTTAAATGGATATTGTTTTCCACTGAACTTTAAAATGTGCTTCAGTAAGATTAGAACATTATCCAGAAAGTCCTGCCTTTTGCTTTTTTGTAGTTGTTTTAGAGACATGCATTACACTACCTATTACATTATTGTATCTTTTACAGCAAATTGAATATAAACCAGGGCCTTTGAAAGCTGGGGAAGATGAAGACTATATGAGAGCATTGAAACAAGAGATGAGAGGACGAATGAAAGACCTCCCTTTTAACATAAAACCCCACACAGGAAAGGGAGGTGAGTGGTAGCCTTTATTTAATTTTAGTAACATATAATACCTAATGCTTCCTACTAGGTGTCTTATGATTTCTAAGATAATCATATTGTAAAAGTAGATGAGCACTGGGGGCAATATCAATACAGGCTATCACTGACCTTAAGATATTAAATATATGTAACATGTTTAAGTGAAATACTATAACTGATTAGGGATATTTTAACCTTGAATGTTATTATTTACATTATTTTAACCATGTTAATTCAAGTAAGAAATGTTTAGAGGTTAAATTAATTGTATCTACTGTTTTAAAGTGTTTGCCAGTGTGCTCTGCTCACCAGTATAATTCACAGATGTGGAGAGGTACAAGGAAAAATACACAAAAGAAATAAAAAAAATTGAAGCTGGCGATTGGACACCAGGTATTGCAAGAATTGCGTACGATTACAATTTAAATTGGCTGATTTCAGATAAATTATAGGCTTGATTTGTAGATTGGAACAGTCTTCCGAAAGAGCTGAAGCCACAGAAGAAGATAATTAAGAAGAAAATAGGTAATTTCAAGAAATGCAAATCCCTCTTTAAACAAACTGCAATTTTTGGATGACCTATAAACAACTTGAATATGTACAGATAAGAAATTCACAAAGATCTCAAGCAAGGACAAGAAGGAAATGCTGAGTAAACTGGATGTGAGTTGAAGCTATATTCATCACAATAAACTGCTGCACTATTCACGTTTTCTATCTTGGTTCGCCGCAAACATATACAGTATATTTGGATTAAGCTGTTGTTTCACTTGTGCTTGTTTTTCAGGAACTTGAGAAGAAGGGGGATGTCAAATCAGATGAGGAGAGTGAGGAGAAGGTAAAGAAGAAAGAGGGTGAGGAAGAGGAGGAGGAAGAAGAAATTGAAGGAGAATATGACGACGAAGAGCTTGAAGAGGTAAAAGATCAATATTCTTGGTTAAATAAATCTTCATCGACAGCATCTGTAGCATGTTGTTCATTACCACAGAAAAAAGAATTATTAATTTAAACTTCAGTGTAACTTTAACACTAAAATATTGCTTAAGAATGAGAGTGTGAGATATAATCACTACCAAATGTGTCCATGCAAAGCTATCTGCTTTTTAAATGGAAAATTTCTTTGTGCATGGATTTTTTTCTTTGTCTTGTCCATCAGTTTGTAAAATAAAACAGTTCTAAAAAATAAAAAACTCTGTGCACTTTTTTTAATGTATTTGTTAATATGTGTGTCCTCCTATGCAACCATATAGTTGTTTACTTTTCATTCTGTGGTAATCAGCAACATTCTATAGATGCTGTTGATGGAGCTTATGGCTGCATGCATTTCACCTAAAACATGTCATCAACAGTAAAGTGAGCACCCAAGTGCCTGCTGGATAGATCTAACATGGTTTCAGTTACTGAGAAAACGATTTAGGTGCTACTGTTACTACATAATGTTCATGTTTGAATAATCAATAATGAATGTTCAACTAAATTCCAGAGTAGTAAAAGCATGATCTGACTTTTTCACAGGAAAACGACTACATATCAAACTACTTTGAAGACGGTGATGAATACGGGGGAGGAAGTGATGACAACATGGATGAAGCCACTTACTAGCAATAAAAAAAGATATCACTCATTAAAAAAAGTCTATCATACAAGATAACTAAAGTGTGTCAATACATATAGAAGCACAAATTTGGTTACACTTCATGTCTTCCAAGAGCAGTGTTTTATAGTTATAAAAATTAGATTCACTGAGTTATATAAATTACTAAACTGGTATTAAGCCAAATATTGATCATATAAAAATCCAAAAAATAATTAGGAGATTTAGATACTAAAATAGAATTCCTTTATTTTCAACCTGCATCTTCTACAGGATGAAGGCACATATACTGTTCAAAAGTCAATCACTGAACTCCATGTTTCATAGAAATGTTTACATCTCTGCTACTTGAATGGAATTGAGCACATGCGAGAATATTTTACAAATCATCCCTGTGCTCTTGCTAGAAGTAAACCAGGAAGTCATATGGTTCCATTTTAAGTTTTGTTTTTCTTTACAAGCAAGTTTAAAAATTAAAACCAGCAACTTGATTACCATCAGTTGCAATACTGAATCTGGATTCTACACTTCCTAAAATAAATTAATGTGTTTATTTCCCTGACAACCAGACAGTGGCAGCAAATGTCTTAATGTATCATGTTTGCCGTCAAGGCAAACGAGCTTATAGAGGTACAGAGCTATACACTGGCTCATGAGTGACAGACAAACAACAAAACCAGCATTTAACTGTGCAAAATGCATCAAGGAAATATGCTGATAGGATTGGAATCATTTCTTGATTACTTGATCCTTTCACGTTTCAGTTCAACTTCATTTTTAAAATGTGGTTTCGCTTATACCATCCATAAATGCCTCCAAATTAATTCCCTGGTGATCTGTGCTCCTTTACGTTTCCTTTTTGTGCTTCACAAAATGTTGCTGTTCAATAGCAGGCTGTAGGTGAGAGTCTTGGTGAGAGGCAGCATTGGCCCGTGGTAACCCAAGAAGCTCAGCGACGGCTGGCTGTGTTGGTCCAGGCCTGATAGAGTCTATGGTAGTGTGGTGGCTTACATCTGCTTTCATCAAAACTTCATAGTACAACAGGTAAAAAACAGGTGTAATAATGCCCACGACCAACATGATGGCCACTGCGGTCCACCATCTCATTCCCCAGTCAGCCCCATAGTACGGGTCTTTCTTATGGGCCGGTCTGCGCTCGGGGTCTCCCAACAGCGGCTGCTCCAGTGAGGACACCACCTCGTTCAGGCTGTTCCTGGAAGGGGCAGATGACTTGACGAGAAGTTGAATGTCCTTGTCCTTCTCCTGCAGGAAGCACTCCACGCTGTCCACAGATGAGGAAGAGGATGAAGAGTCCAAGGGAGCTCCAGAAATCTGTATTTCTGTGATTCTGCGAGTGCTGCAGGGTGAGCTGCTTTTGTGGGGAGCGGTGGCGTGAGTTTCTGTGAATGAGCTGAACTTTCTCACAGGGATCCTTATGGACCGCAGCGCAAAAAAGTCCTGCTCAGTTAGAAGATTGTTGGCCCGCTTTATGTCTGCAACCTGAGAACGAACAAGAAAAAAAATCAGTAAAGCGCATTTGGGCAGCTATTAGGAAGCAAAACTGCACTACGTTTTTTTAAACGTCAGAACATCTAAGAAACGTGGAGTAATGTAAAAATCCAGAGCTGGATGTGTCCCAAATAAGATTAGGAAGAACTCGTTATTATGGGGTGTAATGTGAAGCAGAGTTTTGTTTACAGTAGCAAAGCTGCGTCATGACTTGTGTCGTTAATACAGAATTCAACTTGCGTAATTAGGTGTGACATAAACACAGATTTTACACTAGCTACTAATGTGACTCATCCAATCAGAATTTAGAGTAGGAACCATGCATCATGTAATATTGTTTTTGTTTTGAGACGTTACACATAAGTTTAGCATGCTTCTGTACCAATAACAGACTTATTGATTTCAAAATAATCATTTTCACTTTGGTCTATCTGGTTCTTAATAAACATATTTTTTAATTCACTTAATTACCCTAAGATAGACATTACAACATGGTTATTAAAGTCGTGATGAAACGGAAGTAGCTTCATTAGATTTTCTTTTTCCCCGATTGTGACGTACAGCATTTACACGTATAACAGATTATTGGAAAAGGGTTTGGACATCCACTGGTTGTTGGTTAGCTTGTAAAATGTGGATGTCGCAAAAGTGTAGGAAAATTAAAGCGAAACTTGCAGAGGGAGGGTTTAAGCGAACTAAATAATTAGAGAAGTCAGGCATACATATTAAGAGAGAGAAGTGTGTCCAGTTATGACATGTTGATTAAACATTGAGGTAAAAAAAAAACTTAAAAAACGAAACTGATGAATTGTTCACAATAAGAAACGTCTCTGGTTACTTACGTAACCTATGTTCTCTGAATAGGGAACGAGACGCTGCGGAAAGCGCAGTGGGATATCCTCTGGATGTGCCGATTGTCTGAAGCCCTATAGAATCACGCCAATCCATTGGCTGATGGCGCTCGCGCAAAGCTGGCTCCGCCCCGACGCTCTTACGTCGTAGCATGATGTACGCGCGCGCGCCATCTTCTCCTCAGATTTCTCTGCCGAAAAGAAAAACTGTCGGCAGCGCGAGGAGCTTGGCAGCGAACGCAGCGTCTCGTTCCCTATTCAGAGAACATAGGTTACGTAAGTAACCAGAGACGTTCTCTTTCATAGGTTCACTCAACGCTGCGGAAAGCGCAGTGGGAACGAAATACCAAACTCGCCAAGCTAAGCGCTGCCATAACCGGTACCAGACCAAATAAGAACAACCATGATAGGTTCAAGCAGATAGAACCTGGGAACCTGGAGTCATGTCAAGATCCAAATTATAGAACCTCACAAAGGTGTGCGGAGAGGACCAACCTGCCGCCACACAAATGTCTTCCAAGAGGGCCCCTCTAAAGAGAGCTTGAGAGGAAGCCACACTTCTGGTGGAATGCGCTCTGATGCTAAGAGGTGAAGGCAAACCACGCACCTCATAAGCCAGCGAAATAGCGTCCGTTACCCAGTGGGAAATCCTCTGCTTTGATGCTGCAAGCCCGCGGCGGCCAGCACCAAAACATACCAAGAGCTGGTTTGATTTCCTCCAACCGCTTGAGCGATCTACATACAACTTCAAAGAACGGACCGGGCAGAGCAAGTTAAGTTTCCTTTCTTCCTCAGAGGCAAAAGGAGGAGGGTGGAAAGCATTAAGGTTAACAACCTGAGAGCGGAACGCCGTGGAAAGAACCTTGGGTACATACCCCGACCTCGGCCTCAAGGTAACCCTAACCAGGCCAGGAGCGAAGTCCAAGCATGACTCACTAATAGAGAGAGCCTGCAAATCCCCTATCCGCTTCAGTGAAGATAAAGCTAACAAAAGAGCAACCTTAAGAGTCAGAATCCGCTCAGGAGCTGACTCCAAGGGCTCGAAGGGAGCCTCTGTCAAACCCTCCAGGACGACTGACAGGTCCCACGAGGGAACACTAGGGGGGCGAGCCGGTTTCAGGCGCCTAACCCCACGCATGAAGGCCGAAACTAACCTCAGTTTCCCCAAGGGAATCTCATCCGATTCTCTATGAGCAGCAATAGCTGCGACATACACTCTGAGAGTGGTAGCGGCCGCTCCGGAAGCAAACTTTTCCTGCAGGAATTCCAGCACTGAGCCTACTGGGCAGCTAACTGGGTTCCTATCATGTGCTAAGCACCACGCCTCGAACACCCTCCACTTGGAGGAATATAGCCTCCTCGTCGAAGGGGCTCTAGCATTCGCAATAGTCTCCTGAACGTCGGTTGGGAGATCAAAGCTTAAAGCTAACGGCCTCTGATAGGCCAAACGTACAGCTTCCAAATGTCGGGGCGAGGATGCCATATCCTGCCCTGAAGCTGGGAAAGCAGGTCCTCCCTGACCGGTATCTCCCAGGGGGAGGATTCCAACAGAGGGATCAGCTCCGAAAACCATGGCTGGGACGGCCAGAATGGGGCTACCAGAAGGAGGCGGACTCCGCTCTCCCTCACTCTGGACAGAACCGCCTGGATCAGCTTGATGGGCGGGAAGGCATAGAGTTTCTGCATCGGCCAAGGGTGGGCGAACGCATCTATCCCCAATGGAGCTGGAGGGCTCAGAGAGAACCAAAGCGGGCATTGGGACGACTCCTGAGATGCAAAGAGGTCCACTTCCGCTTTTCCGAACACCTCCCAGATCAGGGCCACCGACTGGCGGTTCAACATCCATTCCCCAGACCTGAGCTTCTGCCTCGACAGAGAATCTGCTGCGAGGTTCAGAATCCCTGGGACATGAACTGCTCTCAGAGAGAGGAACTTGTCCTGGGACCACAGGAGAAGGTGACGCGCATGCCTGTCTAGGGTACGCGATCGTGAACCCCCCTGTCTGTTTACATGGGACACTACTGCCATATTGTCCGTTCTGACAATGACATGGTGTCCTTCGAGGAAAGGGAGAAAGTGGCAAAGAGCCAGGAAGACAGCCCTCAGCTCCAAGCTGTTTATGTGCCACGAGAGGGTCTCGCCAGTCCAAACCCCACACGCTGGCCTGCCCTCGAAAACCGCTCCCCAGCCGGTCAGAGAGGCATCCGTCGTAACCATCTGGCGACGGAATACCGCACCCATACCGACTCCTTTCTGAAGGAAGAGGGGGTCCCGCCAGATTGACAGGGCGCGAAAGCAACTGCGCGACACCTTCAATAGGCGAAAGGCTGGCCCCGTGGGCCGAGCCCCTGAGAGCTTCATCCACCACAGAAAAGGTCTCATGTGGAGCAGCCCCAGAGGTAGCACAGGGGAGGCCGCGGCCATAAGGCCCAGAAGTCTGCGGCAGGTGCTCACGGAAACATGCTGGCCTAGTGCGAAACGGGACAGACATGTCACCAGACTGGAAATCCGTGCAGGAGCCAAACGGGCCTGCATAAGAACGGAGTCCATGCATACCCCCAAGAAAACCGTGTTCTGAGCTGGAGTAAGAACGCTCTTCTCCGTATTCAGCCTCAAACCGAGAGACTGAATATGACGGAGGACAATGTCCCTGTGGTGAGTCACCAACTCTCTGGAGTGGGCTAAAAGGAGCCAATCGTCCAGGTAGTTGAGTATATGGATGCCCTGGAGCCGCAGCGGGGCCAGAGCAGCATCCATACACTTTGTGAACGTCCTTGGCGCTAGAGCGAGGCCAAAGGGGAGGACCCTGTACTGGTACGCTTTCCCTCCAAAGGCGAACCTGAGGAACTTCCTGTGTCGCCGTACGACCTGGATGTG